CGGGCAACCCCCCCCCCCCCCCCCCCCCCCCCCCTCCCCTGCCCATCTCCACCACCATTGTGCTTCTTCAGGAGGACTACGACCAGCCGCTCTGTCTGACATCTATGTAAAACATCCCTGTGCAGCCGCGGACAACAAAGGAGTGTGTGAGAGTGGAGGCAGACTGCGGAGTGCGTGCCGGGTCTCAGCCGCTGAACCGTGCCATATTAGAGCGTTTGAGTGTGGTGTGTAGCGAGACCTGTGCCGCTGCGTTTCTCTTGGTCGTGACGTGCGGAGGCTGTTTCCCCCTCCCCGCCGACTCCACACGCCTCGTCTGTCCATCATCAGCAGCGCTCTTGACATCGACGGGGCCCGGCTTCTTCTCTGGCCTCTCGCTCACCACCCTCTTACCCTGAGGAGACAGTCAGAGTGTGAGAATTACAACGATCAGTACCAAGTGCGTCCGACTTCTGTTGTATTGGAAGAAAAGTCTGAACTCTGCTGTGAAATGCAATCACCTGTTCCAAAAAAAAAAAAAAAAAAAATCTAAAATAATGTCCCTTCTCTTCTAATTATACATGTTAGTCCTGTGGGACCTGATGATAAAAGTTGTTGCACTTTGATTATAAGAATTATGGCCCATCCTTCTCATTAGAAGACAACATTCAGCAACTGAAATTGAACCCAGCCAACGCTATGATCATTATCTACACTAGGGGTGTCATACAACGTAATTAGATGTCAAGTGGGCCGGACCATTACATAACATAATTAACGATGTTTTCATGAAAAGAAGTATATTGAATATTTCTTATAGTTAATTAAAAATTCATCAAGTGGGCCGGATTGAACTGCCCAGAGGGCCAGTTTTGGGCCCCGGGCCGTATGTTTGAAACCCCTGATCTACACCCTCAGTTTTGTTATACACCATGACAACGAGTAATGAGCCATTGCTAATACGTTAAAAATTAATTCTATGTCTGCACATATATACACAGAGTATATGCTCTTTATATATAAATATATATATAGAAAAATGTATTATATATATTTAGCATTATATGTGTATATATATATATGGACATATATATGGACATATATATATGTCCATATATATATGTACATATATATGTGTCCATATATATATGTCCATATATATATATGTCCATATATATGTCCATATATATATGTACATATATATGTACATATATATGGACATATATATATGTCCATATATATATGTATATATATATATATGCACATATATATGCACATATATATATACATATATATAAATTCAATTGCCCGTAGTGACAAGCCGCAGCAGTTGTAGAAAGTAATCCACTTGTCAAAGCAAGTGCTCCTCTGCAGCCTCGTAATAAGATCTGTCTCGATATCCGTCCATATCAGCCTGAGCGAGACGACGTCTCTAATTAATTTACCCTTTTGCCTGCTGTGACCGTTAACTGCTTCCTGTGGCCTCGGCCGGCACCCTGCGGAGGACCCTCTCCGTCTTTCTCAGTCTGCAGCTCCGGCTCTTCTTTCCCGGCTGGTGCAGCAGCGTTGAACAGCTTTGTCACCACCACGCGGCTGTCCTGTGGACAAACGGTCCAAGAAGAGACGCTAGTTCTACTGTACGTTCGCCCTAAAGCTGTGGTTCTCAAATGTTTGGACAGAAATGTTCTCACGCCGCAAGGCCTCCCACCTCACCCTGACCCACACCCCCGAGAATTGAAATACTATTGATAACATGTATATTTGTTTATCTGTACAGACCACTGTATGAGTTGCTGCCACCTAGTGACTGGAGGCTTGTTATCATTCAAGCATTACAGCAGTGGTGGACACTGATGTCCAGTGGGCCACATTCCATTTGAAGCCCCTCACGCCGCCCCCTCAAAGGGGCCTCGCCCCCATTATTTGAGAAGTACTGGCCTAAAGTGAAATATTTCCGCCGTATTCTCCGTCACTTCGGTCCACTCTGCACAGACTCACAGTGGTGGACTTGCTGATTGTGATGGTCAGGTCGTCGGCTTTGCCCTTACGGCCCAGCAGAGCCATTCCCTCCTCCTCTGCCCTTTTCTTGTCCTCCTCCACTTCCTTGATGTAAAGTAATCACGAAGCACAGTTAGAGAAAAATGCAACAGCAGCTTTTCAGCTCTCAGCAGCTACAACTATCACAGACACTCACCTTGTACCTCTTCATCAGTGCTTCATTTTTCCTACGCAGGGCCTCGATCTTCTTGTCCAGCTCCAAGTCCTTCTCATTGTCCCTCTTGGGCATCACGTCACCGGCCGTCTGGGACTAAACACACCAAAAACCAGGACATGGGAGGTTAAGAAATGCAGAGCAAACACTTTGCCTATAACTTTATATGATTCATTTCATATTTGGAGAATGAACTGGGATCACAGTCCGACTGGAAACTTGAAAAGAACTGGGATTAAAAAAAAGAAGTCTTCCATCCTCCCCCTTCAGCAAATGTCTCCATTTAATTAACGTCAGAACCAAAATGTTTTAATAAAGCTAAAGTAATGAAGTGATGTGTTCATTGAAAGATATCTAAAAATACAATTTATACATAAATATATATTGAAATATATAATATATATATTATTTTTGAACATATTTTATTCACTTTTAAATAATAAAAAAAAACCTATATTGACCTTTCGCTCAATTTGACCTGAAAAAAATTGTTTGCAATTCCACTGTTGGCCAGTAGGGGTTAAATCCACAAAAGTCTAAAATAAAACAAAAAAACATTTCTGGGTCACTCTGGTGTCATTTTCCATCTTACAACCCACGCCCCTCCAAAATAAAAGCATCCCGCGTGTGTATACGACTTAGCATGTGCTGCGATAACACACGACACACAACCCCACCACACCCTCACACCCACCACATGTGGAGCATTCATTACAGCTACACATACAGGCAGAACACATACAGTATGCAGAACATCCCAAACATCCCGGTGCAGTCAGCACGGCAGTCCCTTTCACACGATAAGACACGTCCACTTTGGACGCGTCTGCAGGGGCAGCTGTCAACGTGTGCACACGCAGCAGCACTGAGTACATTGGTAGCCAGCGCTAACGACAAGAGAGAGAGAGAGAGAGAGACGCGTGGACGTACGTCGAATATGACATGTATGTAGAGACAAGATGAGTATTGTCTACCGACAATATTACTGGGCCGTGAAAATACACCCAGTAGATTCAACTGTGAGAGAAAAGGGTCGGCTAGCATGACTAGCTAGCATGATTAGCTTAGGTCTGGTGAGCTGTTGTCGAAGACGTACACCAAAGCCCTGAACTAGCCGTACCAGCCATGACCCAGAGGTTGGGATCTGACCACTAGCTAATACAGGGGTTCCCAAATTTCTTTAGCTAGCAAATTTATAAATTTAGCTTCAAAAGCTGTTGTATCAAGAAATGCAATTACAAGTCACTGTGAAAACAAACAAAAAATATTAAAATTATTAAGTAAAAAACATTATTTGCCCAGTTTACAGTACTTTCTGAATCAGCTCCCCAAGAGGCCCCGCCCCCTATTTAGGAAACAACTGGACTGAGACATGATTTTCCCAACATCCATTTCTAATATCTAATTCAGAATTGTTATACAACAAACTGAAATGTATGACCCGGCCTTTGTATTTCTCCAGCATTTCTTGCTAACGTTTTCCTCTACGCGTTTTATTAAATGTACAAATATCAAGATTGATTCAAGGCATGAGAAACAAAGAGAAACGACACGATGCTGGAGGAGAACAATGTATTTGTGCTAAGAAAGATTTAACAGTAATTTTCTGGAAACCTCTTTGGGCAAATCGATGTAACACTAAAAATATGTGCTACAACGTTTCCAAAGGGGAGCGACTTGTTAATGTTTTCTCCATGTGATCCTGCGTTGGGTTAGCTACGGATTTGAACCAGCACTTTTTTTTTAATCTCTGACGTCTCTGAGCACAAACTCAAAAGCACTCGGATACAACACATACAACAACCAAACGGATTCTGATGTTGTTTACAGCAGGGGTCCTCAACCACAGGTGCGCGGACCGGTATTGGTCCGTAGGTCATTTGTTGCCGGGCCGCACTGGGACACAATGAAAAATGTACTTCAGACATATCCATTGACTGTCCTCATTCAAAAAGAATATGTCAATATTTCAAAATAAAATGTCACCCAGACTCAGATTGTAACGGAATAAAGACTAAAATACATTTTATTTTGAAAATGTAACAATCCTCCAACAATCGTCGCAGAGCTACTGCTCCGCAGCAACGGCTTAAACAGAACATTTAGAAAAGACTGGAAAACAGCTGTGCCAACGTGAGTCACCAATCCTCCACTTTTAGTTGTGGGGTAATCATAATCAATGGAAGTACTTCTGGGCGACGTTACTAGTTCGGAGCGATGACTCACGGCTAACAAGTGCACAGAGGCTATCACAACAGAGCTGTAAAACTGTTGGGTTTTCTGGGGGATTTTTCGACTGACTGAAAGAGTTCAGCCCCGACACTCAAACCCTTGAGTGTTTGTTGGTACGAAAGAGTTCAACCCCGACACTCAAACCCTTGAGTGTTTGAAGCATTTAAAGCAGGTGTGAGTAACACACACTCACACACACATACAAAAAAAAAACAACACAAAAACAATACATCATGTGGGACACATTCTAAGGAGCCAAGGACTGGGCCAGACCTACAGAGTCACACGGCGCATGAGAACAAAAAAGTTGGGACTCACTCGGAGAGAGGCGACAGGCTGGAAAGTCGTTACCTCACAGCTTCGAGTTGTCAGGGAATCCAAACACAACAGACCATGAGGACATACCACCAAGAATAGACGCAGGAGAGAGAGAGAGAGAGAGAGAGAGAGAGAGAGAGACACGCTGCTGACTCCGAACCTCACTGAGGCCACGGGCCAAGGCTGAAGTCAACGCCGGCCTTTACAGACCAGACTGTGGGGAGACTGTCCACGGCACCTCTGTGGACTCACACGTCCAGCTCTGTGACTGTTCAGCAGAAACACACACACACACACACACACACACACCAAACAATCACCAAACACACAGAGACAGAAGCTGTGGATCTGCCAATGGCTGGCACCCATGCCAGGACAGGCAGGCAGAAAGAGTAGGAGGGGGGGGGGGGGGCCCGCGGAGGAGAAGCTTTCCCCCCCCGAATCCCCCATTCCCTCTCCTCACTGGAGCCATAACATGGGGGAGAGACGCAAGTGAATCACAGCACAAAACCAGTGAGAGAAAAACATGATCAAAGAGAGGGAAGCCAGCACTGGGGGAGAGAACGGGGTGAGAGAACGGGATGAGAGGAGAGGACAGGAGTAAGAAGACACTCACGGGTCTCTCCATGTCAGCGCTGGAGGCTGGGCTGAGTCCAGGCACACGGCGGCAGAGGCAGCGGCGAGGGCTGCCTGGAGTCGACGATCATGCCTCGATCACAATGAGCCAAGTTGGGCACGCAGCCAAGACGACTAACAAATGCACAGAACACACCCCCGTCCACCGATCTCACAGCATCCAGCCGCCTGTCCTCCCTCTCTCCCACTCTCTCTGTCTCTCTCTCCCACTCTCTCTCTCTCTCTCTCTCTCTCTCTCCACCCTGCACACTACACTCACACTAACTCCCTCCTTTTGGGAAGCACTTGCTAATTCCCTCCTCACTTTTGCACTGCTCAAAGCACACACACACACACACACACACACACAGTCTGGTTTTTATGAGTTCCCAGGACTTCACATAGTGACAATTTACCTGTGGTTTTCAACCTTGGGGTTGGGACCCCGCGTGGGGTCGCCTAGAATTCAAATGGGGTCGGTTGAAATGTCTGGTAATTAAAGTAAAAAAAACAAAATTATTGAAAAAAAAATGTTTTACCTGATTATAATTTTTTTAAATTATGATTTAAAACACCACACACACAAAACAACACAAAAAATAATCTGAGCGGCCGCAGCTTGACTGACGGCTGTGATGACCTGACTGAACAAATGACAGCGGCTAAAATGATGGTAAAATGTTTCTGGCGTCGCTAGAAATTGGCGACGTCAAAATGGGGTCAGAGGTCAAAAAAGGTCGGGAACCACTGCCTTAACCTAACATTAACCATTACGTGTCCTAATCCGTATCATAGCCCAGCCCTAATTCCAATCATAACTCACAAACTAAATCTCACCCCCAAAATAACCAAACATAATATACACAAAAAAGCAAATATTTACATTTAACCTATGTGACAAAAATAGTTATTTTTGTTTTTGTTTTCAGTTTTTGAGTGTAATTGTAAAAGTATTACTGAACTGTGTCTAAGTTCTAGGTTCACATTGTGAATAAATGGACTCATATTAACTGTGGCCTCACTAATGAGACAACAGCTGGGTCTCTGAGGCTCACGACTACTCGCTTGGACCAATAAAGATGCTTTCCTACAGCCTGGGAGGAGGCATGGAGGGGAGAAGACAAACAGCAGCAATAAAATGGGTTTGTTGTGAGTCAGAGTCAGGGGCCTTCACTCTGTCGACAGTCTGGGCTCCAACAGTGTTGGTTAGCCTGTGTGTATTAACAGGTCACATTCTGTTAATAAACAAAAGCCCCTTTTAATTATGTTTACTACTAATAATATATGTAGTTTAATGGTCATAATTTTCACTGTCCCAAACATCAATAACATTCTCAATTTAACTGAGTGACCAACCCAGTTATATTCACAAAACTGCTCTACTTTCCAATAAAAAAAATAATAATAAAATAAAAATCTAATCTTGTCTGATTCTACTGCTCTACTTTCCAATAAAAAAATAAAAAAATAAAAATAAAAATCTAATCTTGTCTGATTCTAGTGTAGTCTAATCTAATCTAATCTAATCTAGTCAGTTCTAGTCTATTCTAACCCAATCTAATCTAATCTAGTTGAATCGAATCAAATTAAATCAACTCTAATTTAGTCTAATCTCATGTAATGTAATCTAATCTAATCTAAACTAATGATATTTTTATTTCTTGACCTAAATCCCTTGACAAAAAGAAATGTCACCAATAGGCCAGAAGTTAGCGATTAGCCACCAGGGCTAAACTCTGTAGATTTTAAATAGAAATGTAAATAGAAATCAAAAGCTGAAGTGTTTTTCTGTTGCGTGATTTTATGTATTTGTATTTGAATGTGACGTCAGTGGCTGTACGATGATATGTTAATCTAATTTCAATGTAAATAGTCAGGTATTTGAAAATAATGAATCTATTATTTTTAATCTATCTATTCCATTTGTCTCATGCTACAGCAAGTATAGCATTGTAGGTTAGCTTGCTAACATTATTCAGTTTGTTAGTTTTAGAATGACAACGGTAACAATAGTAATTCAAAATTAATAAGAAAATGACGTTTGGGGGAATTTAAATTAAGAATACTTAGGGCGACTGTCACTTATTTATGTTTTAAGTCCTACATTTAGTTTATGTAAGATTTACACGTAGTTAAATTAATTATTAAACCATAACTTGTAAGTAATAGTTTAATAATTAATTTAACCGCTTGAATTACAAACCAAACTAAGTTTTTTTTTTATTTCGTTTTTACCACTAACGTACCTGTTTTTTTTATTATTTCGTTTTTACCACTAACGTACCTGTCGAAATGTCACCATCCTACTTTAGCTCTTAGCAGTTAGCTCACTTTGTTTAGCATATTTTGTATTGGTTCGGAGTTTATTTATTCAACGATTAATGGCCGTCACTGTTTGATTTGATGACGTTAGTCAAGTGGCTGAAAATCGGTGTCTCTGTAGTGTTTCCTTTGTCGGCGGTGACGAGTGCGTCGTGTTAATGTCCAGGGGGACGAAAGACGTCAATTTAAAAATATAACCGTCGATAAATGACTCACCTCGGCTCGGCTGGGCTCCTCCAGCTCAACCCGTTTATAAATAGCACAAGAAGCAGTGTCATAAGATACCCAGTAGATGGCGCCAAATTATCAGTCTTTCCCACGACCATACATGAATTAGCGTAGCCTACATTAGTTATAATGTAGGCTACGCTAAGGAAAAATATTTGCTTATGGTACGGACGCTTCTACTAATTTGGGTACATTTGCATCATCATCAAAGCTAGACTTATTTTGTGTTTGTTGTGTTTTAAACACAGACCCATGTCAAAACATAATTAGATCTGTTTTATCTGCATAATAAACAAATTGGGTTTACAGCACAACCTCCAGGGCTTGTGGATAATTACATTACATGCATTTACTAAACTTTGTATAACTTATAAAACATTAACTCACATCCGTGACTAATAAGAGGCAGACAAGACGACGAGGACTTAGAGGTTTTATGAACGCCGCGCACATCAAGCAAACCTGTTTGTTGATGAGTCTACATGGGGTGATGTTTTACTTGAAACTTGAGCAGAGAACAGTGACAGGTGTGTCAGGGCTGTGTCCTACAAACGGAGCCTATAATAATAATAAAAACAAATTAAACAACACACCACTTTAATTGTTTTGATGATTTATCACGGTGGAATGAAAGACAGTCTTGAAGGTCGTGTGACCTGATTACTGATGGTCAAAAATAAAAGCGTCCAGAAATAACCCTGGCCTTGACTCATTGACATTTACGTGCTTTTCTTTCTTTTTTTTCTTTTTTTTTGCTCCTTCCATTTGGTTGCAGTGCCAAAAACTAACAGCAGAGGTGTCAGATTACATCATACTGACATCTAGTTGCGGACCGCGTTTGGGTGGTTTATGGGCGAAAAGTGGCCCGTGTGCTGGGAGTTGAGACCCATGCTTAGAGCAGGGGTATATCAGCAATACAGTTGCCCCTGAAGGGCTGGTGGTAACTGTAAGAGTGTATAGATGTAACTACTCCATAAGATAACAAATAACTGTTTCTGCTATTGATTATTATCTATTCAAGTTACAAATATTGTTCATTGCTCTGTGTAATAAAAAACAAATTTATCAACTTGAGAAACACTTAAACACTTTTCAAGCTTCTGTGGGCCACACAAAATGATCTTGCGGGCTGCATTTGGCCCACAGGCCTTGAGTTGGACACATGCTTTACAGAAACATTACAGATTGAAGGTTTTTTTTTTTTTTAAAAAAAAGAAAAGCTAACAAAATTAAAATATTTAATTCCCTTTTTTAGCATGCTTCACATGACATGGTGTGTCAAACCGGAAACTGGTTTCTTCGCCTGAAGTGGAATCAAAATAAAGGCGTTTACGAGGAAAAGAAAACAGGTGCATTCTGGGTTTCAGAGAAATTCTTTTCTTCTTTAAGAGCTCATTTTCAAAAGTTGTGACCAGAAATGCTAATTTATGAACATATAAAATGCCGTTTATCTCTATATCTAAGTCTCTTCTGATCAGAGAACTCCGTTTCTATCTCTGCACCAGGTCACAACGACCTGCTCCTCCGTCAGTCGTTCTCGCGGTGACACCCAACCCGTTACCTGTTCTGCAACTGTCAGCGGTTCATCCTGGGACGGCGGTGCAACAAACCTGTTATTAACCGCAGCGACGTCACCGATCGCGGCAGAGTATATAAACATTGACGCAACACGTGTTAAAGGACCTGAGTCTGCTGGAAATCTGCTGCAGGTACAGTCGGCCGCGTTCACCGTCTTCACTGCTGTTCACCGTCTTTACTGCTGTAAATGTCATGTCGTCTGTTTCTAATTCTTCACCCAGAAAGACCTTCACGACTGCTCATCACTGAGAGGCAAAATGAGTGACAGTAAGTCTGTGTCAGTCTGTGTCAGTCTGGGTCAGTCTGTGTCAGTCTGTGTCAGTCTGTGTCAGTCTGTGTCAGTCTGTGTCAGTTTCTGTGTAATAAATTTTTTTTTATCAAGTTACAAAACTCAGCAACACGGACTTCACTATGAGGCAATTAAATACTTTTTAAGCTATTGCAGGGCCACACTAAATGACTTGGCGGGCCACATTTGGCCCGCAGGCCTGAGGTTTGACACATATGCCATAAAGCAATACTGAACTGCCATTATATTCAGGCAGTATTTGGTCAAATCCTAAATAGAAATCATAGATAAGAAATACTATTGTTGTCGACGTAATAAGTACTTCACTACGGAGTGATGATGGAGTTACTCAGGTACAATACTTAGGTAACATTATGAGGTACACAGTTGTATTTGAGTACACGTACACGCACACATTTTTTAATAGTATTTTCATCAGTATTTTACTTATAGATATGTTGAAAGGTTAAAAACGAATGTTATCATATGACTGAATGTATATATTTTTTCATGTATTGCAGTAGACTGTGTACAACTGTTTTATTATGATGTGTGTATATTCTGTTATATTGTTATATTGAATATTAATATATTTTCTTGTGTTTGTGTGTTTTCATTAAGAGGACCCAAAAA